CATGTTTTTTTCTGCTGTAAAATCGGGCATTTTAACATGGGGGGTCTATGGAAATGGCTCCTTTCTGCAGCCATCGCCTATCGGCCAATATATGAACTGCAGTGTGTGGCACTTCCGTATTGGCTTCCCGGCTCTACCCCACAGTTTGCCGCTTGGACAAACCCCGTAATCAGTCCTCAAGCTCTGTGATTGGTTGACCTCCAACTGCATTCCATATGAGAAAAAAAACGTTTCGTAAAAGATAAAATCATACTTTATTCAGCAGTGCTTGCTTTACTCTTTGAAAGTCATCACATGAATGCATTGTAATAAATGGTTTGGCTGCATTAAATATTACACATCTATCGTAGTTCTTTATTTATCTACAGAGATCGGGCATCAGAATAGACCGGAAACTATTCTTTTACCGTTCTGTTTTAATTTCACAATAAAATTAGTAGTAATAATCTGTTTTGATATTATTGTTTTTTATTAACTACTAGACCGCTGGGTCATGTTAAGACCATATTTTCTGTGTTGCTGTGGGGTTTTTCCATCGATTTTGTGTTACAAATATCAAAACAATAACAAAATATATCCGTCGTAAACTAAACCAGAAACAGCAGTATATTTTATTTTGTTAACACTTTAAACTTGACAGTTTTTTAACCCGCACCTCCCACTGGTTAAAGCACGCTATTACATGTTTGGAGTAATTGCAATGCAGGTAGATTGTGTTGCTTTTTAATGACTGTTTAAAATGCCTTTTTCTTAATGTCTTTCATTTTTGTAAAGCACTTTTGAATGTTATATTTGTTGAAAACATTTAAATATTAAGAGTACATACAAAATAGTGGGAAAGTAGAAGGTCAATGATATAAATATAGAATAGAAAATATCAAGAAGATACTGTAAATAATATCTACAATAAAACAGTTTAGTGCCTGATAGGAGGATGTGCAAAACAGACAAACTAATAAGAATTTATTTAAACATTAAAGAATACTTTAGGCTAAGGTCTTCTTTTAAATAAGAAAAAAGCTTTGGGGGTATCTATCTACAGATACTTATTAAGCCTGACAAAGTACTTAACGTCTAATATATTGCATGGTTTGTTTTGGAACTTGACAATCAACTTTCCTGCAATGTTAACTATGTTGAAGCACTTATTTTAACCGATATTATACATATTTATTATACTCTTATCAGATGTTAGATAGAATAATAAATGTGCAGAATATGACAGTTTAATGGTGGAGGTACACACATATTGATAGATGTCTTGTAATGCACTGTTGAGGAACCTGTGACCCAAGTTTTGCATTCATTGCATAACTACACCGTAGTTGTGTATGATATGTCAATAAACCTTTGAAAATCTTGAAAGGGATGTGCAAAATATCAATTATATACAGTCTTTAATGAACGATTAGAGAATAACGAGTAATGAATATGCTTTATACGGATCTGCAGATAAATGTTTAGTCTTCTCGAGCACCAACTATCAAATATCTCTTCTGATTGTTGGCACTTGACAATCACCTTCACTGAATTTTACTCAGGTGTAACTAAAGTCTGATTTAAGGGTTGTTTATATTTCACATCATTAATCCAAATCTGTAAAGTAACTAAAATAAATGTAGTGGAGTAAAAACACCACGTTAACCTTAAAGAAAGCCGTCAGGATTATAAAAGACCCCCATCACCCCAGCCACAAACTGTTCTGTCTGCTGCCGTCTGGCAGGCGGTACTGCAGCATCCGGACTAAAACCACCAGACTCAGAGACAGCTTCATCCCACAGGCCAGAAGACTATTAAACACCTGAACTTAGAAACAACATCCATAACATTCATCTGGCTGCTACTTAGAAATTATTTATCTAATATACCATATTCACAATGTAGTGACTGCTTTTTTGTCTTTTGTTTTCTTAGTTATGTTCTCTTTTATATGTGTGTGTTATGTGTAACATTGCTGCCTTCTTGGCCAGGTCAGCATTGAAAATGAGATTGTATCTCAATGCTTTTATCTGGTTAAATAAAGGTTAAATACAAAATTAAAAGATTCCAATCACTTGTATATACTCTTATTGCACTATTTCACTATTTTTTCTGTGTATCTGTTTTATTGTGTTGCACTGTTGGAGGAGCCTGCGACCTAAGGGGGGGCATAGGACACGTTCGATTCCTGTTTTGAATAGTGTGCCGTCGATGGGTTTCATTCCATTTCAAGGTGCTTTTTGACGCTCCGTGTAAACTTCGCGCACTGCCACTCCAACATCCAATCACAGAGCTTGAGGACTGATCACGGGGTTTGTCAAGCTAAGCACATGGTGTAGTCCCAAACGATAGCTGAGGATTCTGGGTAGTGTAGTGTCTTCTGCCATCCAAAAACTCCGAACAAATATTAGTTTCTCCGAATCGAAGGGGAAAAATACAAAAGTATTGTACACAATTTAAACCAATCAATGTTGTGTAATTAACAAGGATAATTTGGTGTTTTTGAGTTGATGAGTAGTGCAGATATCACTGTAAAATCAATCGACAGTAAGGAGAATACTTACTTCCGGGTGTAAAATTCTCCGTTATCCAATGGGAATGGACGCTCGTAATACAATAAAGGGGACATGATCATTATCTTTTAAATAGCGTTAACTAAAGGGAACAATCTATTTGACACAGCTGAAGCTCTGGCCTTCCTTAAAAACTAACTAATTTAATAAAAATCACAGTTGTATTACACACAATGCACTGTTTTTTGAGAACAAAAATTCATAACTAATGTAATTTTTACATTCTGACGAAAAATAAAAATTATTATGAATACAAATAAAATAAAAGAAGCCTCCCGTGAGCTATAAAGTAGATTTTAAAAACGTTTTATAGAATAAAAGCTCACTGCGGGACGTTGTAGAAATGCGTGTGTGCACCACGACAAAAGAGCCTCATTCACTTTACATTGGGTTTTTTTGCGTGGTGCCGACACGCAAATGTAGCAGAATGCGTGACTCCACCACGCAATGCGGTGTTAAGGAGTCGTGGTGGAGTCACGCATTCTGGTGAGATCAGGTTGTCATTATTCTAGATACATGATATGATCATATTAGTACAACACAATTCAAACAGTGCAAATACATTTTATTTCAAATGCAGGGGAATACAGTAAAGTGCATTATGTAAAGTATCAATATATCAAACATATTTTATGTAAAACACTGCATCAAATAAACATTTTGAATACCTTCGTGTAAAACACTTGAGCAAAATTGCTTTATAAACAACAATATAAACATGTTAACATTCTTTTTTTAATACATTTTAGCTAATTTTAGACACCCGCCTGTTAGTTTACATATGTATTCTTCTTTTACATTAGATTTTTTTTGTCTTCCCCATTAGTCACATTCAGAGAGAGATTCACAGTTTGAGAGAGATTCAGTTTGAGAGTGGTTTTCTCTTGTAGGCAAAATGGTTAAAATGCATTTCTTCAAAGTCCAGGACTAATTCAGATGGAACAAGATGCATGGTAGTTAGAATATTTATATATATTTATACATTTCTATACTTATTTGGGCCGTGAGTGAGAACGGACATAAGGCACATAAAAACATCAAACCCATTAAAACCGGGAAAGTGCCATTTTAGATTTGAACCACTTTAACTAACACTATTTATACTAACTATTATGTTAAACTTTGGCCATTATTAGTATAAAACATGACATGTTTTGGTCAACTTTAAGATATTAAAGAGGCAAACAAGAGTCTGTGAGATTATTTGACACAGTCTTCTTCAAAGACTGGTAGAATGTCTGAGCCCTTCCCGCATCAATGTCATCCTGAAAGATGAGTGACAGAAGAACAGAATACACACTTAAAACTCAAATACACAAATACATAAGGTCCTTGCAGCACATGTTTGGCAATCAATTTTAAAAAAAATGGTGCTGTGCATGCACTATCATCATCAACACAAATCCTGCTCCAATGGCCACCTTTCCCTTTTAGAACATTCTATTTATGACCAGGACCACAACAAAGTTCCATACTTTATAGCCACCCACCCCACACCTCCCCCTGAACTCTCAAAGGAAAGCAATGGGTGGAACAATGACAAGCTAGAGTGACTCTTTTCTAAAAAAATAAGAACCACGGTCCACAGGTTAAACTTGGGCTAGACACCTAGCTTAACCCAGTAAGACCTGAGGCTGATTCTAAAACCGTTTCCTGACAAAATTATGTTGCTATATTTCAGTGTTGCTCAAACTTTTTCATGTCAAGGACGCCCAAAACAATAATGGCTATCTACACGTTATAAAACTTGATATGGTGAACCAGATCAAGTTGATGGATGAGGAGTCTGGTGACTAACGAGACTTAAGTATCTGAGAGGAGAAAGCCGGGGTGTCCCCACAGGGTCCCACCCAGAGGATTCCATAGGCTGACATTACTGTACTCTGACCTGTGTTTAGCCTCACTTCCTGCTTCATGTCTAGCGACATCCTTTCACTTGCCCACCTAAACATCTACTAAAGTATCAGATAACTTACTGTGTCCATGTTGTTAGTCAACGTTTTCAGTTTTTTCTCTTTCTGCCCAGTTGTGCTTTCAAACATCTTCAGCAGGTTTGCAGAGTACAGGTCCAGCTGTGATAGGAACTTAGACTGCAGAGGAATTGTGGTGATCCGTTTGAACTCAGCATTAATCTGAAAGCACACATATGGCTTTATGAGACCATTTTCATTAATATGGCACAGCGTTTACACAATAAGTCACATACACGGTCACTAGTTCATACTAACCTCAGTCACATCAAAGAGAGCTGGCCATCTCATTGTGAAGTCGCTGATCATGGAATCACAACCAATGGCTTTGTGTCTTCTTAAAGCGAATGTTCTCTGCATTTTCATCTTAACAGTCTCTCTGTTGTTACGCTTCTTGATATCAGACAGAAGTTCAACTCTGATGTTTTCCAGTGAATCGTCATCTTCTCCACTCGGAAAGGAGGGGCAGTAAGCCACTTCACCTCTTTGGCTTCTTAACAGCAAAGGCAGGACTGCGTCTGCCATCTGGTTTGTGCTTCAAGGCATTTACAGTCACTTCCCGACATCCCATCTTCCGGAGAATTGTGCGATAATGGGACAGCTTATTTTTAATACTCCTTACCCATCCAGAATATCCAGTCTCAGAGGCTACCTCTGTTAAGCAAGGATGTTTCTGGATGAGCGCCTGTGCGATTTTCTCAGCATTCATGTCTGCGAAATAGACTTTGTATTGGACTATCTCCTGGTTCAAGCCCTGAAGTATGTCAGACCTCAGCTTTGGATGAGGGATCAGCCGCGTCCCTTCTTCTCTGTAGACAAGCTTCAGCTCTGCATCATAAGTAAAACGGGGAATGTGGAAGACCTCTGGCCAAGAAGACCTAGGGGAAACGGACTCTTGAGATGAGAGCATCACAGTAGTGTCAGCAGGTGAAACGGATGAGGGTTCACCAGCGTGATTAGGAACGTGTGTCGGAGTTAATGGGCCATTGTCACAGCTCCCAGCAACAACAGGACTGAGGGACAGCACTTTGACTGTAGCTCTGTCTTGTATTTCTTCCATGGAAGTCAAGTCCTGGAAGATGTTTCCAAAAAGTTCATCCATGAACTGCAGTCGAAACAAGTCCTGAAGTTGACACTGCCTCCTTATCTCATTCTCCAGTTCAGTCACGGTATCTGGCAGGCCCAAGGGAAGGACCACTCTCTGGCTGCTGTTCTCCCCCAGGATGACTCTGAGAACTGCCGAGGTTGCCATGGTCCACCTTCTTTGTCTAAGGAGAAAGAAAAGCACACTCATGATACAAGTTGTAGTCAATTCAAGAGGCAACTTTGTTCAAAGTTGAATTAACCTGAAAAAAGCACTAGTATTAATAACAGTATCTTCACAGGCATGTTTTCACCACACAGGACTGTGGCTATATTGAAAAATGTGAAATTAGTGATAGAAATCATAGATATAGTGTTGTTCACTAATAGGGGTCTACGCGTCTCTCCAGCTCTAATAAACTAAAATACATTTTCAGGTTCCTACCCTCACCTATGGTCATGAAGGATGGGTCATGACCGAAAGACCGAGATCGCGGATACAAGCGGCCGAGATGGGTTTTCTCCGCAGGGTGGCTGGTGTCTCCCTTAGGGATAAGGTGAGAAGTTCGGTCATAAGGGAGGGACTCGGAGTTGAGCCGCTCCTCCTTCGCGTCGAAAGGAGCCAGTTGAGGTGGTTCGGGCACCTAGTTAGGATGCCACCTGGGCGCCTCCCTAGGGAGGTGTTCCAGGCACGTCCAGCTGGGAAGAGACCAAGGGGTAGACCTAGGACCAGGTGGAGGGATTATATCTCTTCGCTGGCCTGGGAGCGCCTTGGGATCCCCCAGTCAGAGCTGGTTGATGTCGCCAGGGAAAAGAAAGTTTGGGGCTCTCTGCTGGAACTGCTACCCCCGCGACCCGACCACGGATAAGCAGGAGAAGATGGATGGATGGATGGACATTTTCAGGTTGGTAGCTAATTTGAACTCATCAGCAAAGAGTAACCATTTATCAGCTTGTTTTATAGTGTTCCAGTTCCATTTTGTCTGCTCATTTCTTTACGTCATCACTTCCAATTTCACTCGTTTATCCTGTATGAGTCCTTCCTCCTGATTGGATTAAATTGGTACAGCAATCTGACATTTATTGTTGTGTATTAAGAGCTGGAGAGACAGGAAGACCCATACAATACACATTTAATTTGTTACCTTATCACAGACATATTGACCTTTTCAAGGTCACCATCCGTACATTTCCAACCCGATAGTCAGCCAGGGGGTAACCATCGGCAAGTTCATTTACTTCTACAAGATTCAGTCCTCGTGTAGGAGCTGGAGTCAGCTCATAGGCTCTATAGTGCTCATTATACCATCCACACAGGCCTTTCAAAATGAAACACAATCTCTGATCCAAAATGCATATTTGACTAATTTCCCCAAATTCAGGTAGGCCACTTTCAGACCCATGTGGAACTACCGTCCCTACTCTGTAGTTTATACCCTTGCTCCAAACATTTTTAGCCAGATGGATTTCAGATAGGTCAGGGTATCTTTGCTTAACAGCTTGAGCTATCTCCTCCTTCAAGATATCTAATGGGACTGTAGATACACTTGACACATCTAGCGTTGGTTTATCAAGACTTGGAGATGACAAGTGGTACCCCATCATGAATTGATGTTTCACAGCGGCACATTTTTAAAGCAACTGGTATGTTTAATAACCTTCTTAAAAAAACTGTGCTTTGCCTCAAATCTTAAAGTCCAAAGTCCCACAAGAGGTCCAAACAACCTAATCAATTTGGGGTAATGTTCCAAGTAGTGGTGTTTAGGCAGCAGTCTATTTTCAGGAAATAGTTCCTGATATCTTTGTCTATGCTCTGAGATTTTGCAATCAAGGTAAGCAATGGACTCATCATTGTGGACTGGCGCAGCAACAAGCTCCATAATCTCTTTTAAATCCATCAGAACCAGCCATGCTGGCTCGCCCTCAGGAATCTTAGTCCCTATTAGAAACGGGAGCAATCTTAACAGGCACCAGTTTTCATGTGCATTACCACCTATGGATTTCCTGCTTGAAAGATTTTGTGGCACAATATGAGGCTTATTAGTTTTATCAGTCCACTTATAGGGGAAGTTCAGAATGGCATTATTTATGTCCGCCAAAGTAATATACTTCTTGGATATCAATAATTTGAGACACAGTGCAAGTTCAACAGGTACAATGCCCTCAAAGATATCATGAGCAATGTCAGGAGGGTACCCAGTGAGGACTTGGAAATGAGAAAGAGCTTTAGTCAAAGGACAAGCTTGTTTTACTCCAAAACTGCTAGTGCCACTCTCTTCAGCTGACCTTACATGAGCCTCATGTTGCTCTTTACTTCTGAGACTGAATTTTCCTGCTCCCACTTCTTGTGATTGGAAGTCTGCGTTACTTGCAATGCAAAAACGGCAACAATAATGAGCTGTGAAATATTCAATGAAGCCTGCAAGTGAGTGAGCTCCCAAATTGTCTGCTGCAACAGTTTGAACTGTACCTTTCAGAGTTGTTCCCAACTCTGAAACAAATATGCCTTCTTCTTCCAAAGCCCTGAGATCTTTTAGCAGTGGCTCTAAAACTTCCAAGCGATGTTTCTTTAGATCATCTGTTTTGCATAAAATGGCTAAGTAAATGTAGGACAAAGAGGAATTGGATTCTGGGGGTAGGTTACTGAGCACCCAGTATACACCACAAAGTTTGTGTTTCTTACAGGAGGTGCCCAGAGGATTACAGACTTCAAAGTCATCCGCATACAATCCAATAGATATTCTTAACTCGTCACCTGAGAAGAAATCATTTTTCTTAAAATGTTGGCCATCCCTGAAAGACCTATAGAGATTCTGATTTTCTGCCTCTGCTTGTGGTCTGTGATTACCAACTACAAGGTCCAAAACATATTTCCTATTCAAGAGCACTTGCAGGGATTCCAGAATGGGAACATACTGAAAGGTTTTCTTTTTTCTAATATCCAGAAAATATTCAATTGGCTCAACAACTTTGAAGTTAGCCTTATAGTATTGCTTACGTTGATATGCAGAACACAGAGTGCCACCTTTCTGTATAGCTTTAGTTATAGGGTTAACTGTGCACAAAGTACTGGCTATTTCCTTTATGATAGATCGGTCAACTTGGAGATTGTGCTTCTGAAAAACTTGACCCAAAACATTATCAGTAATGGGAATATACAGAGAGCTAGTTATGCGGTGAAGCTCTTGTAAGAATTCATTGAATGTTTTACTTGGTACATGAGAAAAATGTTCAAGTTTCAACAAAGCTGCAGCAAAGGATTGCTCTATTACTTGTGGAAGGTCCTCTGTGGCATCAATATTACTATCTGGTTGTACATCAGAGCATGCCTCACCTACTACATCATCATCATCATCATCGTCATCAACATTTTCTACAGCTTCTTGGTCAACTGTTGCGGTAGTTGTCACAATATCTGGTTTAAAATCTAATAAAGAATAAGAATGATGTGTTCTGCTCCTGTGAGATTTAAACGTGCCACAGATATTTGTTTGATAGTTGCAACCCAAAAACATGCAAGTCACTACTTCCTCTTTCTTCAGGTGTGCATTAACGTGAGCCCAATAATCTCTTTCAGAGGCAAGATCTTTACATGGGCATAGATGGCAGCTAAATGTACAACCAGCTGAACGATTGTGACTGGTAACGGTCACGTGACATCTGTTTAAATGAATTTGAAGAGCATTCTAAGTTCTAAAAGTACAAGGGCAGCTTGTATATATACACATAAAACGACTATTTGTCCCATGAATTGTATGTTTCTCTCTGTAATGTTTTAAAAGTTGGGACCTACTAGATACTGCTACAGCACAAACCTTACACTGCCACATTCACAGCAACAGTCACTGAAAAAGAAGAGAATGTTGCAATTAGTGATCATCAATAAATCCAATGGATGTTGTTGCTGTCTGGCAGAAACCTTGCATCTTTGATTATTTTAATACATGAATGCCCCATTTTATACTTCATCAAGGCAGTGTCACAAGTAGGGAAACTCACAGCTTGATGCATCAGGTCGTGAGATTGGCGGTTACAGCAACAAACAAAATGTGAATATATTTTGAAAATCTTCACCTATAATAAAATGCAAAATAGGGTTGCCAGATTGAGTAGTTAGGTGCGTATGTCGATTATATGAATATTTAACCAATGAAAGTATTAACAATAACTTGTGACTGAACAACTACGTTAATTTAATGTTGTGGACATGCAAGGTTTCTGCCCAACAGCGATGATATTAAGCAGATCATTTGATAGCAGATAACTTGATAGTTAAGGTCGAGGGGAAGTGAATGAAGTCATATACTCACCACAAGAAAATGAGCCTTCAGTACAATGAGCCTAGTCGACAGCGTGCCGGAGCGTGACTTGGACGCAGGGCGAGACTCAACCCGCTACACGGTCCGTTTGTCTGCAACACATCAATATACAACAGGTTACAAACATACAACTGTACCTCTGTAGTTTTAGCAAAGTGTTAAATTATTCATTCAAACATTTCTAAAACATTGCCTGCATAAGCAGTCATTTTTTAAAGTTAACAGGATAGTATTTACCAGTGGAGCAATATCCCAATAGCCCAAATTAAATAAAAACTTTACTTTTCAGGATTCCAATTCAAAAATAGCAACAATAGCAGATCTACAAGCGCAAACGCATTGCAGTGCGACGCATTTCAAGCTTGTAGATCTGCTATTTTTGCTACTTTTGTGTGAAATTAAACATTTAATTTTTTGTGTTTGTTTGACAAACACCGTTGTTAAAAGTTACATATGTAACCAAATGGACAAAATAGAAGTTACTAAATACATAAAAACACTACTGACTACACCAGTTGGAATTGAACCAATTTAAGGCTTTAACTTCAAAAAGGAGGTTTGTTTTACAGAGCTTTAAAACTGGGTTGGGGAGCTGAGTGAAGACACCATGATTTGCAGAAGTTGACATTTTATTCACTTTAAATTAAAACAGCAAGTAACAATTTATGCGACATTAATACTAGTTCATATTAATTATGGTCTCCCTCAAGTTACCATTTCCATGTTTTACTCAATAAACAAAGACATTAATACACAGCACACAAAGCACCCAGCACTACAAAGACGGTTTACTGAAATCTCAAGATATGGCATATAAAAGGAGGGAGGATCAACATTTTAATAAATCATTGCTAAATTCCAGTTTTATTTTGAAATCTGAGGCTGGATTGAAGCAACACTTTGGCTAAACAATGTGTTTCTACTACGAGTATAATGTGGACCAAATGTGCCTTATTTTCACCCTCTGGTGCATAAATAAGTTGCTGAGACTACACTGCAAGTGCACAACTATTAATAGTCTAGCTAGCGCGAAAAACACACACACACACACACACGACGCTCGTCTGTCACAAGCGTCATGGCGCTACTTGTTCCTGGTTTGGGAAATTTCTCCATTACAACTAGGGATCGACCGATATGGCTTTTTCTAGGCCGATACCGATACCGATTATTGGTAATCAAGCAGACCGATAACCGATATTTGGAACCGATATACATTTGCAGTAAAATCAGAAAATCTTGATGTCAAAATGTAGAATAACACAAACTCCAACACAACTTCTTTGACATGCATTTAAGCATATATTATGTTTAATGAACTTTTAAACATCTTACAACTGGTTTCCTCTCTGTGCCCTTTTATTTAGTGCAGCCATCTGCAATGAGTTAGAGAGAGACAAGAAGTGGGGCTGCAGGCTGCAGCCTTAACTAACAATAATGCTTAATTTATTATATCAAAACAATGCCAGTCTATCTAGCATAACATCCCAATAAGCTGCTAGCAACTGCAAAACACTAGTGCTAGCTAATGTTTTGCAAACTATTAAAAGTTAGGCTATCACAGTAGACCTAACGTTAGTCTAGTAGCCTCACTTCTAATATTTTGCTAAACATTTGCTAGATACATGTTGGCTAGCTAATGAGCTTCACATATCAACCTGAAAAACTGCGAGGCTCCACTCGCAGCCTCCCCCCCCTCCGCACCACAGTTAACACACAGTAACAGCCGGTTACTCCGCTGCGAGACGCTGCACGCACACCCAACTCTGACTGACTTCCCGCGTCCCTGTGTAACTGGGAAACTGATAGACAAGCTCCACATTTGTGGAATCAGCTTCCAGTTTGTGTTCGGGCGGCAGACACCCTATCCGTTTTTAAGAGTGCGCTTAAGACCTTCCTTTTTGATAAAGCTTATAGTTAGGGCTGATTAGATTCAGCCCCTAGTTTTGCTGATATAGGCTTAGTTTGTCGGGGGACATCTTACTTCTTCCTTCTCTCTGTCTATACCTGTGTACTCTCATGTTCCGATTAACCCAGCTTCCCCAAATGTCTTTCTTTTTGGTGTCTATATACGCCGGGATCCGGAGACATGGATGATCCTGCGCTCCTCTGTCCTGGATCGCGAGCCCTGGATCTTGAGTCGTGGCTGTGGTCCTGGATCATAGGTCCTGGATGGATATCCTCATGGATTCATCTTCCTATTATACACACATGCATTTCCAAACATTTGGACTACCTATGTTGCAAATGTATTATCTTTTCAATTTACACACGGCATCTATTGCACGTCTGTCCGTCCTGGGAGAGGGATCCCTCCTCTGTTGCTCTCCCTGAGGTTTCTCCCATTTTTCCCTTTAAACTGTGGGTTTTCTTCGGAAGTTTTTCCTTGTACGATGTGAGGGTCTAAGGACAGAGGGTGTCGTATTGTCATACTGATATTTTGTACAAACTGTAAAGTCCACTGAGACAAATGTAACATTTGTGATATTGGGCTATATAAATAAACATTGATTGATTGATTGATAGAATTGGATTATAAGATCGTGGTGTTTTTGCAACTTCAGCATAGGGGATTGGGATGTTTATTGAACTTCTGCTTTCAACTGATTTACCTTTACTTTACACACCTGGCGACATGTTGGGAAGCAACACCGTTGTGTGATGGACAGAATCAAGGTTTTTACTTATAATATGACCAGGCTAGCAGCGCTAGCTAGTGCTAACCAGCGCTAGCACTAGCTTAGCTAAGCAAACAGCAACGCAGTTAACATTCCCTAACAAGTTCGTCTTTTGAACGATGACAAACACATTAGGCCTACTGATACGAAAATTAAACCTTATAACGTTTTGATGGATGGATTGAGGATTTATATTCTTACCGTGTGTCTGAGAGAATGCTTCCATCAACAAGTAACACTGGTAGAAGAGGGAGAGGAGAACTTCCGTCCGCGCTTAATAGCGCCCCCTCTGATCTTCCGGTGCAATTGAAACGCTTCAGGGCAATGTGATTTAATCACTTTCAGAGGATGATGTTAAGCTTAATGTTATCTCAACACAATATAATCACGTTTTTTGGTCAAACATGAATTGTTTATGTTGAGCACATATAATCAGTTAAATTATATCCAAGAGGCCAACTTCTCAGTTTTTTCAGTGATCCACAAGCAGAAATGTGAGATCCACGAGCAGAGATTTGAGATCCGCAAGCGCATTTTTGGTCGACAAATACAAAATGGATTCACAAATGCCTGATCGAAAGTTGTAAATGTTAAAGAGATATTCACAGATCTTTTTTTTATTTGTGAAAATATTTAGCGTATTTGCAGATCCGTTTTACACTTGCACATTTATTTGTGAGTTTGCAAATCTTTTAAATGCATTTGTGGATGGTATTTTACATTTACAAATCACATATTTACACACAAATTATTTTTATGTTCACACAAATAATTATGAGACATATCTATGCCCATACTGACACGATAAGATGCTATGGTAGCAGCCTTGCTCTTGTTGTTGGGCCTGGTGAAAATGGACTGCTGTGCATTTAGCTGTCCTTTCAGGTCCCTCGCCTTTTGGGAGCGTAGGGCAGAATTAGGAGGGAATTCCGTCTCACAGCGTTTGTGCACTGTTTTAAAATGCCGCTCCTAAATTACCCTTCATCGATAAAGCCACGCTCGCATTGCAGATGAGACAGATGGACTTTGAATTGGAATAGATACAAAAATAATCATCCTCCCATTCAGAGTGAAAATTATATATTTTGGTATTTTTTGCTTCTGCCATTGCGGTCTTGTGTGTGTGCGCAGTGTTGCCAACTCCATAGTAAGGAAAGTAGCTATTGGCTGTCCGAAAAGTCGCCAGAAGTCGCTAAATGACGTCATCGCCTAATTTGCATATCATGTAATGGCGGCTGTCGGCAAAAAACGTTCCCAACCCTTCAAGGATCAAAACTTGAAACCACCGGAGTTAAATCCAGACGACAGTAGATCAGAAATGTCTTTGCCTTTTGAGTATGTTTTGGGGTTTAACATGACAGTTTGGCATAGAAATCCCCCTTACAATAAAGGCAGTATGCCCGTGTGTCATCTCCAATAAATGGCTTCAACCATCCTTTATACTCAGGGTTTGATTCCCACTCCTTTCTGTATTTTTGAGAATACAATTTAGACTGTGCCATGATGTTTAGCTTGTCACAGAGAGGCACACACACAGTGGATGAGGTGATTGAGTGACTGAGGCTGTGTGAGGCAAAGCAAAGGCAGTTATTTATTATAGTGTGAAAGTGAGTGAAGAAACATTTACATTCAACATTTAAATCCCGCTCAAAACCAGGACGGCTTGGCAGTTGGCGCATGCGCAATTCATTTGCAGTCTCGACGCGGGGGAGTGTGGTTGTCTCTGTCACTACCCGATCTGCAGCTCTGCCCGATCTGCAGTGCGCATGTGCGAGATGGTCCGCCATATTGGACAACTCCGGACGGCAACCCAAGATGGACACTTGACACAGTGGCTTTTAGCAAAGCTCAAAAATACAACTCGAGAGAGATGAGTTATTGTTATTACGACGTGACTTCACTATTATTTAACAACTCTTTTTATTGGGTTCTTTTATTTGGGGTTAAGTACATTGTCAGAATAAGTGAGAAATGAATGTAACTTCTGTTAGACAGCCATATGCCATACATTTTTGCACACATTCACAGTAAATATGTATTCAGTATGATAGCTGTCTAACAGAAGTTAAATCCATGTCTCACTTATTCTGACAATGTACTTAACCCCAAATAAAAGAACCCAATAAAAAGAGTTGTTAAATAATAGTGAAGTCACGTTGTAATAACAATAACTCATCTCTCTCTCGTTTTATTTTTGAGCTTTGCTAAAAGCCACTGTGTCAAGTGTCCATCTTGGGTTGCCGTCCGGAGTTGTCCAATATGGCGGACCATCTCGCACATGCGCACTGCAGATCGGGCAGAGCTGCAGATCGGGTAGTGACAGTCTCCTCTCTGCTTTGACTGCAGCAGCAGCTCTGCTGCGGCCAGGCAACTGTCAGTCTGAGCGCCTGGGAGTACTATGGGAGGGAGGCGGGGCTCACGGCAGCACCCGCGGCTCGTTAACTGCAGAACAATGTGAGTCTCCAAACACCAGAAAAGTCACTAATAACACCATTATAAATCGCTAGATTAGTCGTTAGTCGCTTTTGACATAAATAAGTCGCCGGAGGGTTTGGAAATCCGCCAAATTTAACGAGAAAATCGCCAAGTTGGCAACACTGTGTGTGCGGACTATCACTCCTGTTGACACGGACAACGTCAACTAGTGCCCACCAGCCACGCCCCGACACATGGGGTCACGCTGGCCAATCACAAAGCGTTGATGCGTTCAAGTGCATTATTCTGACACAGGAAGATTATGTTATAGGACATTAACAATAAAACAGAATATTGTTGTTCTATTTTTAGACACATCTCGCGATCGACTTGGAATCTCCCCGCGATCGACTGGTTGGGCACCCCTGATATAGAGCAACATAAGTTATTGTCTCTGGAAGATGGGTTTAGAACGCACCAAATGTCCACTTAAACATCGTCAAAAAGTACCTGGGTTGCTTGTGAACAGAGAAGAACAATGATTGTATCCTAAATGAGCCTGGATTCCATTATATTGTAAGCACACGTTTACGTTTTAAGTAGGAGTTACTTTGGCTTGGATCTTTGCCGGTGATGGATGTTTTAAACTATAATTAAGGCCATTCAAGGCTGTCTAGTGATGCCTTTTGTAATAGAGGGTTTGGTGTACACTTTTCATCCCTAGCCTCATGGAAAATGCTACCTCTAGTTGAATGCCTTGGAGAGAAAAACACTTATCCCCCCTCACAATCTCTCTAGGGACTCCAAAAAACAAGACTTCTCTCAGCAGCATCTTTTTTTCCAAATCATTGGTTCTGATCTGGGAGAATGAAGCTGAGACACTCGACAGCCTTACTGGCTAGATTGGGTTGGGAGATCTGTATCCAATGTGTTAGTTAGGGAGAATTGTTTTCTATGTTATTCTGTAGAAGTTAATACATTATGTGAACACTTCGGTGCAGTTTCATAGTGATTGGATGGGATTTGGTACACCTTGTCAAGTCTAGACATACCATTTCATGCTCATTTGGTTTGCATTAGCCATGCTTATGTCTGATATGGACAAAGTCTGTAAAACGTGTTTATTTCCCTTCCAATATTCTTAATAGAATAGAGAATCGATATACACACTCACAGATTAATGTTACAGATCTGGTTGGACACAGTATGATTACAGTAATTTATTTTCTCAAGACAAATGCAGAGTATCGAATGTCCTTGCGACTGAAATTACTACTATATGGATGGATAAGGATGTTAAATCTGTAGTCTGTGTTGCAGCAGAAACATTTGAATGTATGTCTTACTGCTTTAGATTTTGAATCAGTTTTATTGAGTCTGCAAATCTATATCCAAGAATTTAAAAGACTGGCACAGAGAAATGGAACATGTATCAGAGCGGGTTTTTTATGACTAAGTTGATCTCTCTTTATTAAAAATAATATTCTGTCGGAATGGCCTTGATATGTTATATTTCACTGAGATTATTTGTTCCAAATAAAATATATAAAAATGCCTGAAAAGCAGGTGTACACATCATTAGGATTCAGAGACATTTTACATAAATCCGTCAAACCGACCCAAACAAAAAATCAACCAACAAACTGTCCAAATATATCCATCAAATAATCAAGCAACAAACCATCCATTCAACCGGCCGTCCAACCAATTTACCAAACAACCATCTATCAATCAATCCATCAATTAAACCAAGCAACCAAAACCAACAAACCATTCATCCATCCAACAATCAACCCGAACCATTTAAATGACCATCTATAGAACCATCCATCCATCCAACCAACCAACAATCCAGCCATTAATCCATCTGTCCATTTAACATCCATTCTCACCAAGCATCTGAAACATCTGTGGCTTTTGAAAAACACATTAATCAATATGTTTATTTCCATGTATGTGTCATGAATGTTTGTGTTAGTTCATATGAGTCACAGAGCCTTCCACACAGAACCACATATCTTTATAATTGTGTTCGTAAATTGAAAAAGTTGTCTCAGAGGTTGGAGCAGACCATTTTCAGATGCTTGCAATTTTCCTGACAGACCCTTAGCGTTATCACACACATACCTAGCGACCCTAACAGCCATCCAAGCTGTCCAAGTACAAGCTGTCTAAAAAGGCTTTGATTCCACAAAGGCCTGTCCAAAAGTCTGTGTCCAATGCTTCAACCTACCTACTCACAGACACACTCACTCACACACATATACAGGGCCGGCCCGTAGCACTAGCGACATAGGTGGTCGCCTAGGGCGCCAGATCTGTGGGGCGCTGCGCTGGTAGTTCTGGGAGGGAAAACATTTTTTTGGACTGTTTGGCTCATCCTAATTTTCAGCCTTGATGTAACAACATTCATAATTAAGTCAATGTAACACCCTTTTCACCCCGGTTACACTTTTCATTTGCCCTGTAAGTGATGAAAGTGGGGGATGTTGACTTATCAGGCGCCCCGTGCGAGCGAGCCAAAGTGCGAGCGAGCCAAAGTGCGAGCGAGCCAAAGTGCGAGTGAGTCTCCGACTCGAGCAAGAGAGAGAGAGAGAGGGCGCGCATCGGTACCGCGGATTGTTGTTGGATTAAGGCTGATAACTACAGCTCAGTGAGGTAAAGGACTTGACTGTTTAGATAGTTCACTTTAGTCTAAGTCAGGGGTTCCCAACCTTTTTCACCCAGGGCCCCCCCAAATGACTCCTGTTGGAATTTACGACCCCCCAAAACTTTGAAACTTTAATTATCGCTGTTGCCGATC